CGATGATGATGCATGACGATGATGGATCATGATGATGAGGATGGATCACCATGATGCTGGTCATCATGACATGATGATGATGATGATGATGATGATGATGATGATGATGATGATGATGATGATGATGATGATGATGATGATGATGATGATGATGATGATGATGATGATGATGATGCGTGATGCGTGATGCGTGATGACGATCATCCGTGCCACGATGACCGAGCAGTTGACGGATGAAGTTGACGGATGAAGTTGACGGATGACGACGATGATGATGATGATGCTGACGATCGCCGTGATGGGGGTGATGGGCGATGATGAATGTTGGTGCTGCGACGATGAGGAAGATTATGGGTCATGTTGACGATGACGCTGATGATCACCATGATGATTGTGATGATGATGACGGTTGACCAACCTGATGATGGTGATGATGATGATGATGATGATGATGGGTGATGATGATCGTCCTGGCAGGATGACTGTCATCGTAGCATCCTCTGTCGTATGTAAGATACAAGCTAAGGCAACGAGCGTGACCCTGATGATGATGGCGACGATGGGTGATAATGATGATGGTGACGGGTGATGATGATGACGATGACGATGATGATGATGATGATGATGATGATGATGATGATGATGATGATGATGATGGATGATAGATGATGGATGATGACGATGATGATGATGATGATGATGATGATGATGATGATGATGATGCTGATGTTGGATGATCAATGATCGATGATTGATGGATGATGCTGAGGATGACGGAGTTTCGTTGCGCAACTAACAAGTCAATCTAATGCTCGAAAGCGCCAAAGCGGTCACAAGTCAATCTGACCCCTCTCACAAGCCAATCTGACGCTCGCAAGTCAATCTAATGCTCCTCACAAGCCAATCTAATCCCTCTTACAGGCCAGTCCAAAAGCGAACAAGCCAATCCAATGCAAAACAAGTCATACTGATAACTTTCCAAATCACAAGCCAATCTGGGACGGACGAGTGTGAGAATCCCCATTCTGATGAGCAGACAACGCTCAGTGCCAAAGGGATTCGTCAACCGACGAGCTTCGAAAACCAGCGCGCTACCAACTGAACTGACCAGCGCCCGGATGTACTAGGTCGGCAAACTATCGGTGAAGGCAAAAATAAAGAAATAAAGGCGGGCGTCAAGACCTCGTGAACAAGTTGCAGGCCCAGGGTGCCCTTAAGTCCAAGAAGGTGTTGGGGCAACGCTCGCGGCAAAGGATGTTCGTGGTAAAAAAGGAAAATAGAACCCCAAATCAAATATCTTGACACTTGGGCGCTCTATTCGAACTTACCTTATTCGTGGCAGAGGTTTCTCCAAACGCATTATCACGCACCTGAAGTGGCATGATCGCAAACAGCGTGTGGGTAGAAACAATTGCTGGAGGTGCTGGAGAGGCTCAAGCCTGCCCGTGCAAAAAGAGCTGTGTGCTTTCAGAGTCACTCTGGGTGGTTGTGGCGTTTCTGGTCTTTGCTGTGTTTGGTATTGTGTGGTGTTTGTGCGAGTTGCGATGTTTGCGATGTTTGTGGTGTTTGTGGTGTTTGCGGCGTTTGTGGTGTTTGTGGTGTTGTGTTTGTGGTGTGTGGCGTTTGTTGTGTTTGTGGCGTTTGTGCTGTTTGTGCTTGTTGTGGTGTTTTCGGTGGTTGTGGTGTTGTGGTGAAAGTTGTGTTTGTGGCGTTTGTGCTGTTTGTGCCTGTTGTGGTGTTTGCGGTGCTTGTGGTGTTGTGGTGTTTGTTGTGTTTGTGGTGTTTGTGGCGTTTGTGCTGTTTGTGCTTTTTGTAGTGTTTGTGGGTTTTGTGGTGTTCGTGGCGTTTGTCGTGTTTGTGGTGTTTTGTGGTGTTTGTGGCGTTTGTCGTGTTTGTGGTGTTCGTTGTGTTTGTGTTTGTGGTGTGTGGCGTTTGTTGTGTTTGTGGTGTTTGTGCTGTTTGTGCTCGTTGTGGTGTTTTCGGTGGTTGTGGTGTTGTGGTGAAAGTTGTGTTTGTGGTGTTTGTGGTGTTTGCGGTGCTTGTGGTGTTGTGGTGTTTGCGGTGCTTGTGGTGTTGTGGTGTTTGTTGTGTTTGTGGTGTTTGTGGCGTTTGTGCTGTTTGTGCTTTTTGTGGTGTTTGTGGGTTTTGTGGTGTTTGTGGCGTTTGTCGTGTCTGTGGTTTTCGTGGTGTTTGTGGTGTTTGTGCTTTTTGTGGTGTTTGTGGCGTTTGTCGTGTTTGTGGTGTTCGTGGTGTTTGTGGTGTTTGTGGTGTTTGTGGTGTGTGTAGTGTTTGTGGTGTTTGTGCTTTTTGTGGGTTTTGTGGTGTTCGTGGCGTTTGTGGTGTTTGTTGTGTTTGTCGTGTTTGTGGTGTTTGTTGTGTTTGCGGTGCTTGCGGCGTTTCTGGTGTTTGTGGTGTTTGTGGTGTTCGCGGTGTTTGTGTTTGGGGCTTTTGTTGTGTTTTTGTGGTGTTTGTTGTGTTTCTGTTGTTTGTGCTGTTTGTGTTGTCAGTTAGTTGCGTTAGTTTTGTTAATCTTACTAGCATTACTAATTTTTCTAGCGTTGTTAGTTTTGTTAGGTTTGGGAGTTTGTATTTTTATTGTTTGTTGTTTGTTGTCTGTTGTTTGTTGTTTGTTGTTTGTTGTTTGTTGGTTGTTGGGTATTAGTTATTATTTGTTAGTTATTAGTTATGACTTTGATTATGATTGTTATGGTTATTGTTGTTGTTGTTGTTGTTGTTGTTGTTGTTGTTGTTGTTGTTGTTGTTGTTGTTGTTGTTGTTGTTGTTGTTGTTGTTGTTGTTGTTGTTGTTGTTGTTGTTGTTGTTGTTGTTGTTCTTGTTGTTGTTGTTGTTGTTGTTGTTGTTGTTGTTGTTGTTGTTGTTGTTGTTGTTGTTGTTGTTGTTGTTGTTGTTGTTGTTGTTCTTGTTGTTCTTGTTGTTCTTGTTGTTCTTGTTGTTCTTGTTGTTCTTGTTGTTCTTGTTGTTCTTGTTGTTCTTGTTGTTCTTGTTGTTCTTGTTGTTCTTGTTGTTCTTGTTGTTGTTGTTGTTCTTGTTGTTCTTGTTGTTCTTGTTGTTCTTGTTGTTCTTGTTGTTCTTGTTGTTCTTGTTGTTCTTGTTGTTCTTGTTGTTGTTGTTGTTGTTGTTGTTGTTGTTGTTGTTGTTGTTGTTGTTGTTGTTGTTGTTGTTGTTGTTGTTGTTATTGTTGTTGTTGTTGTTGTTGTTGTTGTTGTTGTTGTACCGGGGGTTGTAGTTGCCCTTTGCGAGGCACGAACATTTGATCATCCCACGGTGTTTGGAGTGCTCGGGCAACGGCGTGGAAGCCAATGTGGCCGTGAGGATATCCTGCTTCTCCTCATAAGCTGAGTGATGCGGCTTGAAACAATCGCCAACCTGTGAGGACACCCAGGATGAAGGAGGCATCAGTGCCATACTTCCATGTAGATGGCTTAGCTGGCACGCTAGCGTATGTGCTGATCAACTCTGTGCTGAAACCACCTGCGAAGGTGAGGTCCAGGTCCCTGCTTGAGGTCGAGGTTGATCGCCTGCTTCAGGAAGCTGATCCTCTCCGGCAGGCGTTCAAGCATCTCCAGCAGATTCTGCTGGTTCAGCAGCTTCATCAGGATCTTCTCCATGTTCCGGGTCTTCATAGTCCCAACCATCCCAGCCATCCCACCATTCCGCATCGGCCTCGCCGTTCCGAGTCAGGGCTTTCCTCGTGGACGAGCAGAGACGCTCCGGGATGGCAGCGGAACCTAATGTACTGATTCATGATGGGTGCCGTGCTGGGCAGATTGCGTTTGACCAGAGTCTGCCAGGCGTTGTAGTTGGTGGGTTCTGTCCTGGTTGTCAATCTGATCTTGCGACCATGACGCAGACTGGCAAGCAGCTTGGTGGCCACATACCTCCTCTTGTGCTTGTGGGTGGTTACCCCCTAGTATTCCCTCAGTATTCCCTAGTATTCTCCTTTAGTATTTCTTCACTACCCCCTAGTATTCCCTTTATAATCCCCTAGTAAAGGAACGGGAAAGCTAGGGGAAGACCTTTAGTATTGCGAGTATTCCCTTTAGTATTGCCCCAGTATTCCTGAAGACGCGTATGGCAATGAGGCATGCCATTTTTTTTGTGGGGGGTGGGGGGGGGGGGGCAAGCATTTTTTTTAATTAAATTGTTTTTGCTTTTGCAAGATATGTTACATATCATATGCACATCATGCGCCTTGTTCGTTGCTGAATGCATTGCCCAATAGCTGAAATGAGTGCACTGCATGATTGATTCGAAGATTGGGCATCACGCGGGGCACGGGGGAGGGAAGAGGTATCGTGCTGATACAAGCAGCAGATCAACCACATGACATCACAACGTCACAGTCTTGACAGACTAGCTTGTTACGATTGTGAATGCAGGCCTAAGACATCGTGTCTCGATGGTGATAATGTTTTGCAGTGCTGGATCTACCTTGTCTTTCTCCGACTGGTCATCAGAAAGGAGCTAATTTAGCCCGTCAATTCATAGCGGCACTGTACTTGGAGAATTGCGCGGGTGAACCTCATACTGCGTGTGCTACTCAAGCATGTGGCTTGAAACATGCATTTGCTAGTTGACGCGCAACCAGATTTCCAGGGCGGACAAATCGATGGCATTTGTCATGCAGTCAGATTGCCAATTCAGGATGCGCATGTACTTGTTCACACCGCATGTTTGATTCGGGTAGCGCGTGCCTGTTGAATTACGTGCTCAATTATGTTGTACGGAACAGCAGCTGTTGTGGTGCATTTTCGAGCGAAACACACAGCCCCCCATTTTATCAATGACGTTTTAAAATGCATTTTGTCGAAGCGGATGGAGGATTGGCAAAATGAGGCACAACAAGCGCAGCAAGACAAGGGACTGAGCCATCCAGTAAAGGAGTAGCCAACCATGTTCAAAATTCTTGAACAAGCCTCACCACTTTCCGTTGTCGATGTCCAAGTCTGACCCCTCAAGAAGCATCTCACCGGGCCTTCAGCCATTGGCTCGAGCTGGTGACATCCGAGATGCGCTGCGTGCGCTTCCTGCGGCTCCCGCGCGCGGCCCAGGTGGTCCAGGTGGCCCGGGTGGCCCGAGTGGCCCGGGTGGCCCGAGTGGCCCGGGTGGCCCGGGCCGGCTGCGCGCCAAGTGGCGCTTTGGGCCGGAGATGGAGCAGCTCGGCTTCCGGATGCCTCGAGAAGTACAGGGAGCTGAAGACCAAGGGGGAGATCAAAGAGGATTCTAGGCAGGAGGTGTGCATGAAGATGCTGGACGATCTAGCCCGGCAGGTCGAGGGATACTCGCCGAAGATGACCAGAGCTTCAAAGCAGGCTACCCCAAAGGCATCTTCCACCGGGCTTTTCGGCCTCCTAGGGAGCAAACCCAGTGCCCAAAAGCCGGCAGATGCCTCTTTGCGGCCGATGCCAGGCCAGATTGGTCTTTACCTGTGGGGTGGCACCGGAACTGGCAAGACCTTCATGATGAACATGTTCTATGACAAGGTCAAGATTTCTAGCAAGAAGAGAGTTCATTTTCATGAATGGATGATTGATGTGCATTCACGACTGCATCGAAGACAAAAGGGCAGCAGTTCAAACACGGACAGCACAGCTGATGATCTGATAGAGCAAGTTGCTGCAGACATGATGAAAGATGCATGGCTGCTGTGCTTCGATGAGTTTCAGGTTACCCATATCAGCGATGCGATTATCATGAAGCGCATCTTTTCTGTTCTTTTTGAGCTTGGTGCCGTGGTGGTGGCTACCTCCAACCGTCCACCCAAAGACTTGTACCTCAATGGGCTGAACCGGCCCTTGTTTACGCCGTTCATCCCCATGCTCGAGGCCTTCTGCACTGTTCATGATATCGGTGCAGAGGTGGACTATAGAATGTGCTCCAGCCGGGATGACGAGGATGACCGAGTGTACATCACGCCCAACGGACTCGGCGAGAAGAAGTTGCTAGAAGCCAAATTCGCCAAAATTTGTCATGGCCACGTTCGCTTTGGTATGCAAGTGGAAACGCAAGGTCGCCGGATTGTCGTCCCCCGAGCTGCTGAGAACTCAGCTGTGGCATGGTTCAAGTTTTCAGACCTCTGTGACAAGCCGCTTGGAGCCGCAGACTACCTCGCGATAGGCCAGGCCTTCCACACAATCTTCCTTGCGGACATACCGCGACTGACTATGCAGGAGCGGGACCAAGTGAGGCGGTTCATTACATTGATTGACACTTTGTACGAGTCCCACACCAAGTTGTTGTGCGTGGCCGAGCTGGATCCCATCTCTCTGTTCCACGTGACCCAGGAGGAGCGTAGTAGCTCGGTGGCGGATGAGATTTTTGCCTGGGACCGCACTGTGAGCCGCCTCATGGAGATGCAGTCTGCCGCGTATTTGAGCGCCGCAGTAAGGAAGCTTAGTGCGGATCAGTTCCTGGGGCAGTACAAGCTAAAGAGCTTGTCCGACCAGGACAGCGGCCGGCGTTTGCTGCTTTGTCTTTTTTTGTGTGCAGAGGAGGTACCTTGGTTTTTGCACATCCTGGGCCTTACCCCAAATAAATAAAGGGCTCCTTCCGCGCAGGACTTCAAGGAGTTGTGGCGCCGCTATGATCAGGATGGCAACGGCGTCTTGGACGCGGAGGAGCGGGCAGGGTTTTAGATGTGCCGGAAACAAGAGGGAGGGGATGAGGAATGTATCCATATGTTTGCTGGGTTTATATCCAACGGATATGTCATTCCGTCATTGTGACGTATTGCGGTGCGACTTTCCACTTGATTTCTGCTTTTGGAGCCCCTCGCTTTCTGCACATTTCTTATTGGATTTCCATTTGCGAGATCAACTTTCAGTTGGGGCAAGAAAAAGCAGCTCTTAGGATCCTGATTGAGGCCTGATACAGGCAGTTCATTCCTGGAGGTTTGGGTGAAAGAGTCCCGAGCCAACTTGGCAACCAGTCCGGGAATTGATCCTTGTTTGGACTGGTCCAGGAATGAGCCAACTGTTCAGCAGATTCAAACATGGCCGCACACTCCAGCAGGGATTTTCACTCATTCGACCTCTCCTCGTTTGTTTGCCTAGGAACTGTGTTTTGCGGACTGTTCGAACAGGCAAACCCTATGGACCTCTCCTTGTTTCCTTGCATAGCTCTGGGCGGACTGTTCGAAGAGAGTCCGGAAATTCCGGGGGAACCTCCGGCCGCAGGAGTTCCGCTTTCTGCTGGGGGACCTGATGGAGCTCCAGGTGGGCCACCGGCACGTCTCGGAGGAGCTGTTCCAGGAGACGTTGAGCGGGATTCGATCGGGCGAAACAAGGGAAGACTGCAGGGTCCCGGCTTTGCATTCTGATCACCATCCCTCATACAGAGTTGCTTGCCACAGACTTGTTGCTTGGGAGGCTTTGAGATTTGTCCCATAATTCTGATGGAGCTTTGGGCTATTTGGGATTGAATGTGGAGGGACCCCAGTGCCAGGGGGCGGGGGAGGGGGCGATGCTTGCTACTTGGCAGCAGCTTTTGTTGCGTGATCCACGATGGGACGCCGGGTAGACTGGGCAACGCAGGGTACATCACCAGGGGACGGCAAGGTATATGTGCCATTTATTGTTATTTCACGTTGACAGCGGGAGGCGGGATGAGGCCTTCTACATACCTAATTTGGACTTGGGAGCATGACCATGTGCCCTCGATTGAGACACCTAGGCAGCCAGAAGCAAATGCTGCCCAGACGCCTCATGTATCCTCTGCATGCTGTCTCCGATCTGAACGGAACCTGGCAGGTTTGTCTGGAGGACCTTCATAGTCACGGGAAGACTGTGACCTTCAAGGACTGAGGTTGAGCGTCATGTGGGTGTCAGCTATGTGGGTGTTGTTGGACCAAACCCTGCTATTTTTGAGAGAGCAAGTGCCCTCCCAAAAGGGCGGGGGAGGGGCAATGACAAATGAACATGCCTGGGGAGTTGCGAGCACATGCTTCGGTTGGGATCGGCCGACACCATCCCAGGATGTGCTGTCACGAGTTGTTCGCAACTTAGCGCAACTTAGCACACACACACACACACACACAAAAACAATGGCGCTTTGGCTGAAAGACTCGGTAACCGCAGTTTGATTTTATACTATACACATGCAGTTTTTTTGTTGTGTGTTTTCCGTGAAGTTTGCCAACCCCAGCCCTGTCACTGGGGCACCTTCAAGGGTGAATTCCTATGAAAGGAGTCAGATCAAATCCCTTCTTTTTGCAGCCGGCTCTCCTGGAGTCACAGGACAATTGGAGCACGTGTTCAATGCTTGTTTCACGTGGGTTCCAAAAGCAGTTACTGTAACCTTCCTGCTTTGGGTCCTTAGCAGGGTGGTGAAGCCTATTTACTTCAATCCGAGAGAGGGGCGTCCGAGTTTTGAATCTCGATGCTAGAAGCATGGAACAATGTACAGCATTGCACCACAGCTTCCATTACAAATTCTGAGAGTATCCTTTGCTCGCGACGTAAACAGCTGACCAGCTGCATGGGCTTCCCGCTCTCTTCTCGCCTAAAGTCTGTTTGTGAAGCCAGTTTGGCTGTGGGTCCAGACCAATGGGATCCCATTTTGGGGTAGGTGCACCACCCATTTCAAAATCCATGGCCAATTGACAGGACTTCCAGAGGTATATCGGGGATTTCGCTACAATCGAGAGCGTCATCCAAGAGCATCTCGGCTTCGGGTCTGGGCGAGCTGCTTTGAAGCTCGCTTTGAAGGGTTTCGAAATCAGACCAACCACTCTCTGGATTCTTCAGCGGCCTGGCATTTATCCTTCAAAAGGTTCCCCAAAATGAATCCTGACATCTTCAATGAAAACTGGGCCTTTGTCAATTATCATAAAACCTGCAAGAGCAGAGGTATCCACCACTCATTTGATGAAACAGAACCAAGACACCTCGAGAAAACCAAGCAAACCCAAAGTAACAAGATTGCAGACCCAAGCGGGCTCTGGTGGGGGGAGCATGGGGTGTGTAATCTTTTCATTTTTGGATTTCCGCTTTCTGGCTACCCCAAAGCATGCGCAAAGAAGTGCTCTTCCGGGCCGCCCTGTTCTGTCGATAAATCAAAGGGGCAGGAGGGGCTGGCGCCCCTCGTGGTGTATCGCTTCTTCGCGCATGTCAGCTTGCCATTTGGGTGATTTTGCAATTAATGGGCTGCAAAACGTGGAGCTTCTCGTTGAATGCTGACCCCCTAAGCCGAAGATTGGCTAAACGGACCTGCGTCTCAGGCATGTGCCAGTGGCCGCTGGGCGTGGTCTGATGGCCTGATGCGGCGGCCTTGGCATGGGCCTGGCACGCGGCGTTTTTTGTAGTCGGAGCCCTGCTCAAATCTTCCACACTGGGCTCGTTTCACGCCCCGGACGGCTTTGGCCTCCGGGGTGGGACCAATTGACTGGCCAAATCGGTCGATCGAGCGGCGAAGGTGCGGGATGGGATGGGACGAATGGGAGGCGCGCCTGGAGCGAGCAGAATCACCGATTTTCAATGTGAGAAGGCTTCAGTTGGCCCAACGACCACTTGTTGTCCAAAGGAGAGATGGGCTCCCCTGCACAGCTGGTACTTGTTGCGCTGGTTTGGAATCCCTGACCGGGTTTTGGCACTTGTTTGGCACGTTTTCCGATTTTGTTGGTGGAAAGGAGTTTGCCCTAAGCAGTGCCTGGTCCGATTCGCACAAAGGAAGCCATCGGAGGCATGCGAAGGTTCACAAGTGGGGAGTGCCGCTTCATGGGGCTTCACGACAGCCACCAAGGCATCGGGTTTCGGAATGAGCTTTGAGTTGAACAGCCGGCCCAGGGTTAAAGGGTTTTGTCCAAAACCTAGAAGGGGCAAAAATAGAGCATTTGGAGGGATGGAATGAGGAAGAAGCCACAGTAGCTTTCAAGAGCCCGGCTGTGGTTCTGTTTGTGAGCGAACGGAATCCGGGAACAGGCGTCCTACAGACCGAAGGCAGATCAAATGACACAGGGTAAGCCGTGGTGTTTCTCGCATCGCAACTCGCCGAAACATGTGGAGTCTATTGTTCGTTTGGCAAGTGGCAGGGACATTGGGGAGCGCCTTGGCTTAGAGACCGTGTGGCTCAAGAGTATCAATCAAGCCCAAGTCACTCGGCGAGTGAGCAGTGCTGGCCCCGATGTGTGAACAGCCATTTCACATAGAAGGACTCAGTGGTTCCAAGCCGGCCTTTTGACCGTTGTTTTTTTCCCATTTTGGCTCATGAGTCAAGGTTCCAAAAGGTGATTTGGCAACGGAGATGCCCCCAAGCCTAGCACTTCGCTGCTTCGGTCCGCTTCGGCCGACCCTTTAGAGTTTTCGCGTGTTTTCCACCGCCGTCCCCAAGATCGGGGTTTGGATACGTCCAGCCGTGCCATGGAAAACAGCGACCTGGGTCGGCAGACAAATGACAAGGGTGAGCCGGAGCCTTTGCCTTCGGCGATTTCCTTGCAAAATGCTGGAGACAGATGTTTGGTGGGTGGGGGAGAGCGAGGGCCCTGTTTTTGTGTCAGCCGGCTTATTTGGGGCAATTGGGGTTTTTTTTTTTTATATTTTGGAATGCACCATTTAAAATGCCCGGCATTCATTGAATGGTTGAAGATTTGACAGAAGCTGCCACGTGTGTTTTAGTGCATCTACCATGTGTAGTAGACAATGCGTAGCGGCGCAACGTTGCCAGACTTGACCGTGCTCAACATATCAGAAAAGAGTTAGACTTGTAACACTCATGGCTCGATTTCTTTCGCGTGCGGCCAGTTTTGCGATTGGTTCGTCAGCGTCACTGTACTTGTGTCGACTGGATCGCCCGCCCGCCGACAGAGCTTGTGACAGACAGATGTGACAGACAGCTTTGACACAGCCTGCACAGACAGCTGCGACAGAGCCTGTGGCAGACAGATGTGTTGACGGAGCTACAGTGGCAGATGTGACAGACAGCTGTGGCCCGAACAGTGGCCTGGCTGGACAGCTGCGACCGCCAGAAGAACAGGGGGTGTCTGGGCGAGGACCGCCGCTGCCACAGCGCACGTGGGGCGAGAAGAGGCCCGGGTAAAGAGCTGGAAGCGCGGCCTTGCGACGCGAGATTCGCAAATGCGTTGTCCACGCAGTCTTTAAAAGCGTCTGTGAGCTTCCGCCGCAAGTGCTTATGCTCTGCTTACTGCCAGAGCCAGCCACCGGCTAGCTTCACAGAGTGGGATGCTGAGCACGCTTGCCGCCTGGGAGAAAGCGTGGTATGTCCTAGGTGGGGATCGGCATTTGTCTGTTGCTTTTTTGGCATGACAGATTGCCTGAGAAGCGGCGTTGTGAAACTGTCAGCAGGTAGGCTCTCACTGCAAGACTGAAATCGTAAATAAGCAGTCGTCGACTCATCTTTGGTGGACTCTATTCTGCCCAGGGCGAGCATGAAGGATCGTATTAGTCGATTTAGGTGTCAAATAGCAGAAATCGGGCCGTTTTCGTGCAAAGATGCCTGGCGCGCTACATTTAGTGGAGCCATTGAAACGTCTGTCAGGTCGCTGAAGGAAATCAGGAAAAAGTTTGGGCAGGCAGCGGATGGTTTGGGAGAGGGAGAGAGAGACATTTGTCAAAGGGAGTGGGCGCCACGCTGCTCACAAAAGCAGAGGCCTGGGCTGGCCCAATCAATTTGCTCGATCGTTTTCAGATCATGTTCTTCTTTCTCAATCATGGAAGCTGAAGTGGGGCTTGCAAGATGCGGTTCGCACATGTTACATGTTCCTGATTTTGAGAAACAATATTTACAACCAACCCCAAGTGTCTTGTGATCTAGGCTGCTTTAGAGTTCAGTAGAGTGCCCGGCAATAGAGCACCAAACACCTGGCAGTTTCCAGTTTCCAGCTTGTGGTTTCCCGCAAAGACGACAACCAGGAATCCCCCCAAAGAACATAATGGAAATAATTGGGTTGTCTGGGCTGCCCTTGTGGAGCTGCCTCACCCGTCAATCCAGAAAGTACTCATTTTGCATGTCCTGCCAGGACACCTCTGCGCTCAGATACTTGGCTCTCCCATTCATTGTTTGGTGGTCGGAGGAACATGCTTGGGTGTTTGGAAACCAAGCGGGCCACCCCCCCCCCCGCTTCAAGTCGCCAGGCTCAACCCGCTCCGGCTGCTTCTGCATGATTTTCTTGAGGTTCCAACAACTGAACGAATGCCTCAAACAGCCCAACTCGAGATGAGTCTCTGCGCTGACTGTTCTTGCTGTTCACATTCCTCGCTGCGGTTCTTGCTGTCCACTTTTCTCGCTGCGCTGGCTTGGTCTCATGGCAGGCCACACTGTCCATGGGAGATGCTGGGGGCCTCGATTTCAGTCACGAAAGCCTCTGAATCGCGTGTGGCCTTGCGCTACGCCAAATCCTGGGGACCGGATCTCGTGTTTCACCGATGCGTTTGCTCCGGCGTTGTCTAGGTATTGCCAGGTCTTGTTCTGTTTTCAGGCGAAAGATCCCTCAGATGGATGTGGGCTCCCTGCTGTTCCGCTGTTCCAAGATACATCGCTTTCTGGACCTCCGGATCTGATCGTTTGATCCCTGACTCCCATCAGCCGTGACACCAAGCAATCCGTGGATTGAATCGCCCACGGGTGCGTCGCAGCCGGCCGAGGTCACTACCGTCTTGGTTGACCAGGCCAAGGCACGACTGCCACTGGAAAGGTGTTGCAAGCTTCAAAGACGGCCTTTACATTCTCAGCCTACTTTTGCATGTCTCTTGTTTCTTGCCTTCCTATATGCACACACACTCACATACACATCCTTTCGGGTTTGTCAAGGCATACGCTCTCCATCACAAGGGGCTTTACACGGCAAAGTCAAAAGTCCCGGCAATCAGATCAGCCACTCTTTGCATGGCGTTCATTTGCGCTGGTGCCAGGCTTCTTGTGACATGCAAACAGGCCGATTGGCGGAGAATAGGCTTGACGTGTTTTAATCAGAGTGGCGAGTCGAGACAAGAAAGAACCGCCTTGCGGAGAATTTTTGGGGCCGGGGAGCCTCGGGTACGGCGGTCAGGAGCCGACTGAAGCGAAGAATGACGACGACAACGAATCTTCGAGCGAGATCTCCGAAGAGGAGCGAGCGCTGGCAGTGGGAGTAAGAGGTGGCAAGAAAGACCTCAGGTTGGCGTCGTTGTACGATCTTCATTCAGTCAGGCAATATTAGGCATAGTGCTATGGCTCCAATTGCCTACCTGAAACTATCTTTGGAAGCGCTTTGGTTTTGAAGATAAAAGAGTTGTAATATTGTGGATCTCTTGAGGACCCCAGGTTTCCAATTTTTCCGTTATCCCCCCTCATTGAGTAGAAGATACTGCTTTAATCAAGACTCCTTGCATGCCTTCTCTCAAGAAGCTACAGTTGCATTCTTTTATTCGGCAATCAATGGTGCTGTCATCTTGAGTCAGAATGAACTCGCCGCAGGTTTCGACAATTACAGGGGTTTGGGGTCATCAAACCCGCGGTTTTGCTGAGCATCCCTCGAGACTTCCCGGCCAGGAGGTCAGCGATGAGGAGTCCTCGGAGGCGCGCGGCGCGGCGCGCGCGGCGGAGCCGTTCCGCCGTCGGTTTCTCAAGCATTGCTTTGGATCCAATGGACCTCTTGCAAATTTTTTTTCTTCCCCCAAGAGCATTCACAAAAAGGAGCCTAAAATGTTGGAAAGCTGGAAAGCGGTTTTGCTTGTGCTCGCGCAGGGTGCTTTGTGGCCTGGGCAAACCAACTGATGGATAGCTCTGACCGGATTGGTCCGGCGCCCTCCGGAAGGATGCTAGTGTGTGTGTGTGTGTGGAGTTTTTGAGGGCACCCTTTCAGCCTGGTTGTTCAGGCTCTACCCAGATGCCTTTTCGGTCACTCCATGTGCGTTCAGCTCAAGTGCGTCCGTGCAGCACTGGCACACACAGTTAACAGATTTGTTTCGAGTGCCTCCAAAAAACGGTGCAGGTCGTGGACAACACGACATGATCTAAAATGGTGTGTTTATTTAGTAGATATCCGACAAGCAAAGGAGAGCTACCATCAATTCGCTCCACTTGCTGCGCTTTGCAAACTTTGTTTTGTGCCTGGCTCTCTTTGGAACAGTGATTGTTGGCTGCAGGCTCCAATACCTGCATAGGCACGCACCTATGTGCATACCCATTGGTTTTACATGTTTGTTCGATATGCGTGTTGGACATCAACAGCGTTTTTTTTCTTGTGAATCTTGGTCGCACTTGCTCATCAGCCTTGCACTCCGGGGACATACATGCCCTGTGCGTGTGACCGGAGCATTCACAATACCAACTTCATTGCGGCTCGGGCTCAGGACATCGCAGATTTCGATTGCCTGTGCCTGCATCGGTGGCGGGCTTATGGACTGATTGTTTTACAGACCTGGAGGTTTGGCGGATTTTGCGGACAACAGACGAGCCTTTCCTTTTCTGTTCAGCTCAAAACTGGCTTTGCCAGCTT